CACTTCAGCAGTAGATGGGCAACCCCCCCTCCAACAAAATTATTTCAACCAATCCCAAAATAAGCATTAGTGAAAAATTTAATTGTTCATGGGACAGAGTAGTTTCTAAATTTTTCAGGTATAGGCACAGAGCAGGTTAATGATGTTAATTCTAATACCCATGGAAGCTACCAGCAATCAAAATTTTAGGTAATTTGTATAAATAACTACCAGCTTCAAACTTAAATTTCTGAAATATATGTGGTAAGTACTGTGTTGTTTATATCTGTGCTACAATACAGTACATATTGCTGTTATGATACTCTTTTATCACCAGCCCCACCTTGTGTTTACAAACACCCTTCAGCCACTGCAGCTGTGTGACAAAGGCTTTCTAAATCAAAGACAGTGGGCATGCAGTGACGGTCACCATGAGGGTCATTAACCCTACAACATTCAATGAATCTGTATATCTTTGTATACCATCTTTCAATGAAGTGGTAGCTCCTAAGACTTAGCATGTCTGTTTCATGGGACTGTAGGATCTCATCTTGGCTCTTCAGTGAAACAGCACTGTCCTGAAAAGATTTCCATATCTTCCTCCATTTCCATAATCTCTCCTGTTCAGAATTGGCGGAGTTTGGTCAGCATAAACACCGCATTCTGATTAAAACATGAGTGGGTGTGAAAGTTGGGGCCTTTGAAACAGAGGTAGAGTGAGGTAAAGCTTAACCAGTGTGGTCTCTACTCCAACCTTGACCTTACAGACTTAACCCAAGTGGCTTCTGAATGAAATAAGTTCAGCACCCTTGAAAGATACAGAAAAAGAACAGTAATTTTTATTTACTCCCAGGGATAAGAGAAAAAATGGTTCAGAGAAGAGTACAGAAAATATTTAGGTGTAACACAGTTGATAATTTAGGTGAGTAAAGAGCAGGTAGCAACCAAGTTTGTATTCTTGAGGTAAATATTGGCCTTCCCTCAACCTCAGGATTCTCACAATGTAAATGTGAGCTCCTCTCAGACAACACAGTCTTGACACAGAACTTCAGCCCAGATTAACAGCTTTATAGAGTTTCCTGCAGCATGGGAGTTTCCTTTCCAAACTGTTCAGAAATTTGGGTTGCAGGCTGAAAGTTTCTCTCTAAGTCCGCTGTGGACCAACTGTCTAGAGGTTAAGGTACTATATGGGCATATTAGAAGCAATTCATCAATTTGGCCAAATGGTCAGTTCTGCTCTTAGATTTATCAGTCAACATATATCTACCTCCCACTCTACAGCTGAGTTTGTGTTATGCTAAGGGAACCCATTATCCTTTGATAATATGTGGTTTAATACACGTTCTTTTACAACTGCCTCGTATTATGACCATGTATGGGGATACATCTTTTACACTTGGCCACTATAGACTGTGTGTGTTTATCATTTAGATCCCTGTTTGCAGAATACCCCGTTTTCAACATCAAAATGTCTAACTATAAAATGATAAGCTTGAAGTTTGTTAGAAGTTGCTATATTTCCCCCACCCATTAGTATTATGCATGGAGCATTCTCTAAATATTAATACTGGCTGATATACTGGGAGGTACTATAGACTGCAATATACCAGCCTTTATCAAGTGATCAAACTCTTATTGGAATAGTTTTACTATTTCTGCTCATTTATTTTAGATAATGTTGTCAGTAATGTTGTTATTCACTTTGTTATAGCAGGCACTCTGACACTATCTTTGTTACACTTCACCATACCTGAGAGTTTTCTCATAGTTGGTTATGTGGGGAAGTATAGGACACTAATATTAACAACAGTTACCTGAGAGATGACAGGGAAAAAGGGGTGGGGCTTCTGGTGTCTCGCACAGACTGCTAAGAAATCAAATTGCTCTGTTCATAATGCATAATCCAAAACTGCAAACCAAAAGGGTAGCTACAACAAATTAGATATGCAGATTCAATGCACAGCCTAATCAGGGAAAAGAGATCAGATACTTGTCAGGTAGCCCTGTCATAGGTCTGGAATGTGGAGGGGTGCCCCCTGTTTTCTGTCTCAGCTCTCCCTGGCTCACCAACTGTTTGCTATCTTAAGCTTGACCTTGTAGATGTTCCAGCTGCAGTTTTCTCGGCTGGGAAAGTCAACGGCCTGCATGCACGAGATGTATCCATTGGCTCATACTTACAGGGGGGATGTTTGATTCTAGTGTAAGTCAGAGGCCCTAGTATTGGCGGCCATTCCTGACACAAGCTGTACACGTGTCTCTAGTACTGGATTTACCAATAAACAGTTATCTTCTTATGAAGTCCTGTGTTGAGTAACCTGACTAAGGACCCTGACAATACTGAATAATGGGCTGTTTTAGACCCAAAGAAGGCTAACACTTGTAGTGGAAAAATTACAATACTGTTTATTTTGAAAAACACAGAGTTATGTCAAGATTTCCACTGCTAACAAGCGTACTCAGTCTTTCGTAATGTAGTCATTGCATTTACTCTCCCCATACTGTCTCCCAAAAAGATATAATTCCATGCAAAAGCTTACTGGATTTAAGTGACCCTTTTCTAATTAAAAAAAAACCACACCACCATAAAGTGACAGCATAGAGAGGCAGTAAATAGTTCTGATTTGTGTCATCTCCTTGTTGTAAAGAGTATATGACCCAGAATATGTCCATTATCTGACATGGGACGAGGGGGAAAGTATTGATTCAAAACAGGTATCACTTCCTGAGAACATTTCAGACACAAAAGTCTTGTCTGTTCATCCTATGTCAACTGTGTCACTCTGATGCCACAGAAGAAGGAGGGGTGGGAGAGGTTATGCCAGCTTTCTTTTCCTAATGGGAACACAATCCTTCCGTAACTGACACCTACAAAAGTGACTTATTAGTTTATGTGACAATAAACTTTTTGTATGTGTTTGGTGTAAAGGGGGGCATCACCGGAGTATGTTCTTCTGGATATTAACAGAAACAGAATCACTGTTATATAGTAGTTGTTGATTATTTTATTTGACCCACACATCACAGGTTCACATCTCCTATGTAAATTCACTGATGTCTTGTCAATAAAGATTCCTATTTTCTCAGTGTTTTTCTTTATGTGGTTCCAAACTATTGATAAAATTGTTACTAATGAAGCATACGGAATTCTACATCAGTAAATCTGTGTGGAAAAATAAAACAAATCTTCAGAGACTATTAGGAAACATGAAGCTGTTATACTGTTAATAGTTAAGCAGGCTAAATATAATCAGCGGTTGGATGGGAAACCATCTAGGAAATTGTACTGAACTTCCCAAAGGAACAGTAGGAAACATAATAAGTAAATAAACCTCCCTCTTCTTCTTCTTTTTTTTGTCAGAGTCCGGACTGTACTACAGAGCTCAGATGATAGTTACTAAATTATATGAACATAGTGCCAAATGTGATGGGGTGCTAGTTTTGAGAGAAAGAATATTCTGCCTAACTTTCATGTCAATGTGGGAGATTCTAATGGGCAAGAGAAGTTACAAAAAGGGTACAGAATAACTGGATGGAAACCATCAAGATTAGGAACCATGCACTATTCAGGGCAAGAGAAGGAACAGATGAGATATATTTTTGCTAGGTCTAGAATCTTAGAGTGATTCTGCTCCTTGTGACTTCTGTTTTTGCCGCATTGTAACCAGGCCATCCCAATGGGGAAACTAGTCCCAGAAGTGATGGAGAGGCTAAATTTTGCATATCAATTTGAGTTAACCAGCTGGTTCTTTGAATGCCTGCTGAAAAAAGTTATTGCCTAAAAAAGGATTTAGATTGCCAGTCAGATAAAACTACACACATCCATTTTTTGAAATCCTGAATTAAAGGAGGAGACTTTTCAGATTGTTGACTTCTCAGATTGCTGGATTAGAAACAGGAGTCCAGTGGCACTTTAGAGACTAACAAAATGTATTCCAGCATAAACTTTCTTGAGTCAGAGCTCACTTCTTCAGACGCATGAAATTAATCACGTTTATAGATGTATACTTCATGCATCTGAGGAAGTGAACTCTCACTCAGGAATACATTTTGTTAGTCTGTAAAGTGCCATTTGACTGCTGTATTAGCTCAACAAAAACGGCTTTCTTGCGTTTGGGAATATTCCCACATTGGAGGGGGGATTTACCACAGCTTTGACAGGTACCAGTTCTAGCTGCTGCACCGGCGCCGGGCACAAACAACACGCGGCCACGTGACCTGCCGTCAGTGTTTCTGGCGGCACGCTCCCCTCGCCGCTGTGCTTCTGAAGTTTTATTTGGTCCAAGGCCAGCCCCCGATTGCTGCGGGGTTCTCCCCCTGCCCTGCCTCCTCCTCCTCCTCGAGGTGGCCTCCCCCCTCCCGTTTCGCCCAACGCCCTCCCATTTTTTTTCCCTTCCCACCCACGGGTAAAGGTGTTTCCCCCTCAAAACTTATTGCAGTTGAAACTGTGGGCAGGAATCTCCTAATGTTCCCAGCCCGAGCAGCGGGCAGCTAATTCAAGTCGTATCGCAGCCTCCCAGGGCTGGCGGGAAAAGCCGTTTCTCCAGTCTCTCAGCTTTAATTTTTTTTTAGCAAATCTTTCTCGCTCCTCCTGCTGCTGAGACTCGCATCTCCTCGGCGTGCCTGAGAGACTCGTGGGCTCGTCTCCTTCTTCTCAATGTATCTTGTCTTTAACTCGCCTTGCTGATCCCACCGAAAGGCTGCCGAGCGCTCCCCCCCCAACTACTTGCTTTCCATTCCTGAACAGAAGACCGTCTCCCGCCCACCCAGCTCTCCTGCTCTCTCCTCGCATTTCCAGAGCCCCCTTGCCCCATTATTCCTCCCCCCCCCCGATCTATTGGTCTATCTTCCTTCCTGGTGCTAAACTGTAAAAAGAGGAACTCCCACCCCGCCTCCTCCTCTACAGCGGCGGCCACCAGGACCATCATCATCCCCACCAGCACCACCACCCACCAGTACCCTCGCCGCCGCCGCCGCCGCCGCCACCACCGCCTCCCTTTCTCTTCTCCTTTTGGCAGCACCAGGACGTCCGGTGTGGTGCTGCTGCTGGTTGTGTTGCTGCTGGCGGGCTAGCTGGGGGCAACAAGGGAACGAGACCGCCTTTCGGAACAACTCCCCACCGCCTCCGCTCCCTCCAAGGTGCCTGGCAGAGGGGGGAAGTGGGAGAGAGTCAGCGAGAGAGAGGGAGCGCGACCGTGCAAAGGCTGAAGTCCCAGCGAGCCCTCACGATGAGCACCCGAGGGGAAGGAGCCGGCCAGCCTTCGACTTCTTCCACCGCTGCCCAGGAGCAACCTGCGACCCCGCCGAAGAGGGGGCGAGGGAGACCCAGGAAGCAGCCACAAGTCAGTAACCCCGCGAAAAGCGCAGAGCAGACCCGCGGCGGTCGGGCGTGCACGTGCACGCATTTCGCTCGCTCGCTCTTTTTGTCTTGCAAACGCACCGCGGAGCCGGGCACTGGCAGCGTGTGCAGACGTGTAGATGCGTGTGGTGGCTGGGGCTGGTGTGGTG